CTATTGTTTCATTGCAGGGTCTCTGGAGAGATTTGGGAGCTCTCTCCTCTTGCTCATCTTTCAGGTAACTCTCTTCACCCTGATGATTAGGTTAAAAATGTAGAATCCCTCATGGAGAAAAATAAGGTGCCTGCTAAGGAATGCCCGCTATATCCCTTTGTTGGTTGGCGTCTATGGAAAATGAGGAATGATCTTGTTTTCACTAGAAAGAGATGGCCCATCCCAGATGTAATTCATAATGCGATAATGGACTATAATCAGTGGATGGATGCAACAAGCCAAGTGGTAGAAGAAAAGTTGGAAAAGAAGGATAAATTGAATCATTCTCCAAAAAGTGAACTGGAGGTAATCAAAGCAGCTAACTCTTGGTGTTGTTTTGTAGATAGTTCTTGGGTGGCAAGAAATCAGAAGTCAGGATTTGGTTGGGTCCTCATGGACAATAAAGGTAGGATTATCATGAAGGTTTCGACATCTTTTGATCCGATTGCTACTGCCTTGGAGGCTGAAGCTTATGCCTTTAGGGAAGCGGTCCAGCAGGTTCGGAGGCATGGATATGCATTTGTCACTTTCTGTGGAGATTCTCAAGTCACTTTTAATACGTTAGACAAATGCAGAAGCATCAAGGAGGAGAAGAAGCCATTGTAACATACTGTCAAGATATTATCAGTTTGGCTTCTCAAAACCCTGGCTTTCAATTTCGGGCAATTCCAAGAGATGCAAACCATACGTCTGATGCTTTAGCTAAGCTAGCTCGTTCATCTAATGCTGAGTATGTTATTTCTTGGATGTATAATGGTTGTTGAAGTATAACCAAACATTATTAGCTTTAATATATTGAATACTTTGCCGAAAAAAAAAAAATGTAATTCTTGGTTGTTGAGTCCTTAAATCTAAAGATCGTATTTTGAATTATGTATAATTATGCATTTTATTAATTAAAGAATTGTCATTGTTTTTAATTTGGAAAGTCCTGATATTGTGGGTATTTATTTGACTTTCCCTTTCTCTTGAGTATTTTATTCTCAAACGCTCCTTTCCAAGTTGTGTTGATTTCTTTATTTAAGAAAAGGAAAGAGACGTGGCAGGTTTAATGGAAAGAGATGTTAGTGGTGTCGCTCTATAAAAAGGCTGGACAAGCTTTGTTCTAAGACACACAAGACTGCAGTTTAAACAGAGATACAAAAAACAGAGTCTAATAGAAGTTGTGCTAAGTTTGTGTTGCTGTTGAGTTTGGAGAGAGATATCCTTGGGAAGAGGTTGCTGCCGCTGTGAGGAGCACGGAGCAAGGACTTCTGCAAGAAGAAGACATCCATGATTGAGGGGGAGTATTGGTTTTTATTTGTTAACCTTAGTTCATGTTCTTAGATAGATGTGATTTCTATCTTGTGTTTTGTCTTCTTAAAGTTATCTAATAAACTCCTTTTGCAGCCGAGGATTAGGGGTTGGTTTGATTTGAATTTCACTTCGTTTTATAGGTAGAAAAGCAAGATAGCTTTAATTACAGCATTA